AGTTATTTCCGGGACAATTACCGGTTACCAAAGGTAAACTAATCCAGCTCTGCTTTTGTAGGAAAAGTAAAGACAATATATCCTCGGACTGAAAAAACAGAATCACTGCATTTTAAAGGTTGTTCTTGTAATCTACTCCTAAAAACCTGGTGGGATTTGAACCTTTTGTTTTAAAGTCTTTGGTTTCTCCTGTCCTGTTTGGCTGTGTCAATACGGACATTCACGTATACATGTGTCTTGTGCATCTACCTCAGAACGAGACAGATGAGACCCAGATCCAGCAGGCGGGGGACGACGTGGTGTTGCCCACAGAGTTGGCCAAGATGATTGCTGAAGACAACCAGGAGGGAGGCACACAAGCAGTCGGTGCTGGGCCAGCTGTCCAACATCCAGAATGTGGACATGGACCAGCTGAAAGCAAAGCCCAAGCCACACTGGAAGACCTCAAAAAAGCAGACGGAGAATTGCAGTCTCATGTGATTTGGCCAACTCCGTGTCCAGAAAGATTAGTTTTACTTGTACAAATATTTTTCAGAGGCAGAGCTGTCTCTAGAATAGAAATATTCTTGTTTGCTTCAGTGGAATGTCAGTTGGCAGAGCCACATAATAACAGTTTTTCTAGCTGTGCAAAGTTAGACAAGACGCCCTGCGGGAAAAGAAAAGTAAAAGATGAGGAAGCTGAGCTTTTTGAAAACTGGGGCTCATATTTCTAACTGGAAAAAAAAGACGTTTTGTCTTCTAGGTGAGGTAGTTTATTGACTTTTCCTGTTGACCTTCAAACATCCTATAAGTCATGAATGTTCATTTCATATTTTTAATTGAAATTAGCTAACCTGCACTCTGAAAGACTGTGGTTCCTTGGCTTCCTCCATTGTTATTTAACCAATAAGATTATTTCTGCATTTAGAACAACTCCTCCTCTAAAAAACTTTGTCCAGTGCATCAAACCCTTACCATTCCCTCACCCCTCTCTCTCTCTCGCTCTCTCTCTCTCTCTCTCTCTCTCTGTACCTCATGTGACCAGCGATAACACAATATGATCCTGCAGCTGAGGCCTCAGGTGTGTGTGCAGGGTTTTATTGCTTCCAAACACACAGCAGCTTGATTTCACCGATGAAACACACACATTTCCATCAGGAGAGACACACTCATCAGTAAAAATCACTCGCTTGGTTGGAATGAAACACACACATACACAAGGCTAACACTGGCTCATGAGGAGCTTGTATGTGTGTTATGTGGAATTTGGTGATTTTATTTTTGGATAAATACAATGAAGAAGCCATGGGGGGGGGGGGTTACATTTCACACACAAAAAAGCACAAAAATCTTGAAATGGGCAATATTCATTTGGAGCAACAAATGAGGCTGAGCTTTGTTGTAAGTAGCTTACTAATGAGGGACAAAAGCTCCCTGTGAGCCGCATTAATCTTACTTTTAATCTTTTCCTAAACATATCATTATAATGGCTTTTCTTTTTTTTTTTTTTTAGCGTTTTCTGTACTTCAGTGTGCCTTGGACGTCCGTACAAAGGTTGTCATCTTTAGAGCTCCAAGATTTGTAAGCTACTTTTTTACAAAAAATGACCCTCCTGTTTTGCCTCCTGCTACAGATTTGTATTCATTTCCCTTTTTTTAGTTTAATTAAAAGCAACAAACAATTTGTCGGCAGGCACATGTGATGTCTTAAGGGCAGACATAAGTAAATGCAGTAAAGCCTGTCCAATAACTGTGTTCCCAAATTTTACCTATAGCATCAATATCAGCTACATAGGGAGTAAATGTGTTTTTGTGCTGCATCTAAGCAAAAACACAAAAGCTGCTCAAATGAGAAAAAATGGAAATGCTCTTAGAGGTGTGTATGCCAAACCAACATAAAGGCGTAAATGTCAAACTGTGTAACTGAAGTGTGTGTTTAAATCCAACTACAGAGTCCACATACAAACATTTATGTTGTACTAAGATGTACTTGTATCTTCCTGTTTGCCTATTATGTCAACACGGGTCTTCAGTCACTCCATTTTCATCAACCCGCTGGGTCTCATAGTGTCGTCGACCGTCACATGACCTTCGACCTGTCCTCCATCTCGCTACCCCTGCGTCCCAGTGGTGCCGTTTTGTGCTGGTGGATTTTGTGTCGTTTAGACGATGTGTGATATGTCAAGTGGTGTCTTTGTAAAAAACCTGGTCCTGTGGCTGCGAGAGCTGGTTTGTAGTGTCACACAGCGCACAGTCACACGTGTGGCTCACCCAGCTTGTTCTGTCTCTGCTGTTTCTCGTGCCATATGTAAGCGGAAGGCGAGGGGGAATTAGGAGAATGATGTTGTTGATGTTGTGTAACATTCATATACGCTACATTGCGCGGTGTTTGATTTTATGTAGCAGTGGTGCTAAGGGTGATGTCAGCTTTGATCTCACGTCTGTCCCCACTCTGATTCCTGTTGTATTAACTGCCAAAAAACGATTATAAAAGTCTAATAATTACATATTAATTATTTACACTTACATTGTTTTAAGGAACAATGGGCAAAAAACTATTGGCCTGTTTTCTCTGAAAATGTCCTTGCTGTGAGGTTGCCACACTACTGCGAATAGATCTGGGGCAACATTTCAAAAATTTTCAGTGCAGTGCTTGTTGTCTTGATCTCTCTCTTTTTTTTTTTTTTGCAGTGTGTGTGGTGCTTGAAGTTTGAAATGTTACTTTATGTAGGTGAAAGGTCTGATCTAAATCTGTATGACACCTTGAACACTATATTTTTTCTCCTTTCTTGCAGACAAGAACGAGAAGCCCATTTCGCCCAGAAGAAAGCTGAGAGAGCTACAGTTAGAAGTCATTTCCGGGACAAGTACCGGTTACCAAAGGTAAACTAATCCAGCTCTGCTTTTGTAGGGAAAAGTAAAGACAATATATCCTCGGACTGAAAAACAGAATCACTGCATTTTTAAAGGTTGTTCTTGTAATCTACTCCTAAAAACCGTGGTGGGATTTGAACCTTTTGTTTTAAAGTCTTTGGTTTCTCCTGTCCTGTTTGGCTGTGTCAATACGGACATTCACGTATACATGTGTCTTGTGCATCTACCTCAGAACGAGACAGATGAGACCCAGATCCAGCAGGCGGGGGACGACGTGGTGTTGCCCACAGAGTTGGCCAAGATGATTGCTGAAGACAACCAGGAGGAGGCACACAAGCAGTCGGTGCTGGGCCAGCTGTCCAACATCCAGAATGTGGACATGGACCAGCTGAAAGACAAAGCCCAAGCCACACTGGAAGACCTCAAAAAGCAGACGGAGAATTGCAGTCTCATGTGATTTGGCCAACTCCGTGTCCCAGAAGATTAGTTTTACTTGTACAAATATTTTTCAGAGGCAGAGCTGCTCTAGAGATAGAAATATTCTTGTTGCTTCAGTGGAATGTCAGTTGGCAGAGCCACATAATAACAGTTTTTCTAGCTGTGCAAAGTTAGACAGACGCCCTGCGGAAAAGAAAGTAAAAGATGAGGAAGCTGAGCTTTTGAAAACTGGGGCTCATATTTCTAACTGGAAAGAAAAGAGTTCTTTGTCTTCTAGGTGAGGTAGTTTATTGACTTTTCCTGTTGACCTTCAAACATCCTATAAGTCATGAATGTCATTCATATTTTTATTGAAATTAGCTAACCTGCACTCTGAAAGACTGTGGTTCCTTGGCTCCTCCCATTGATTTAACCAATAAGATTATTTCTGCATTTAGAACAACTCCTCCTCTGAGAAAAACTTTGTCCAGTGCATCAAACCCTTACATTCCCTCACCCCTCTCTCTCTCTCGCTCTCTCTCTCTCTCTCTCTGTACCTCATGTGACCAGCGATAACACAATATGATCCTGCAGCTGAGGCCTCAGGTGTGTGTGCAGGGTTTTATTGCTTCCAAACACACAGCAGCTGATTTCACCGATGAACACACACATTTCCATCAGGAGAGGACACTCATCAGTAAAATCAGCTGCTTGGTTGGAATGAAAACACACATACACAAGGCTAACACTGGCTCATGTGAGGAGCTTGTATGTGTGTTATGTGGAATTTGGTGATTTATTTTTGGATAAATACAATGAAGAAGCCATGGGGGGGGGGGTTACATTTCACACACAAAAGCACAAAAATCTTGAAATGGGCAATATTCATTTGGAGCAACAAATGAGGCTGAGCTTTGTTGTAAGTAGCTTACTAATGAGGGACAAAAGCTCCCTGTGAGCCGCATTAATCTTACTTTTAATCTTTTCCTAAACATATCATTATAATGGCTTTTCTTTTTTTTTTTTTTAGCGTTTTCTGTACTTCAGTGTGCCTTGGACGTCCGTACAAGGTTGTCATCTTTAGAGCTCCAAGATTTGTAAGCTACTTTTTACAAAAAATGACCCTCCTGTTTGCTCCTGCTACAGATTTGTATTCATTCCCTTTTTTAGTTTAATTAAAAGCAACAAACAATTTGTCGGCAGGCACATGTGATGTCTTAAGGGCAGACATAAGTAAATGCAGTAAAGCCTGTCCAATAACTGTGTTCCCAAATTTTACCTATAGCATCAATATCAGCTACATAGGGAGTAAATGTGTTTTTGTGCTGCATCTAAGCAAAAAACAAAAGCTGCTCAAATGAGAAAAATGGAAATGCTTTAGAGGTTGTATGCCAAACCAACATAAAGGCGTAAATGTCAAACTGTGTAACTGAAGTGTGTGTTTAAATCCAACTACAGAGTCCACATACAAACATTTATGTTGTATAAGATGTACTTGTATCTCCTGTTTGCCTATTATGTCAACAGCGGGTCTTCAGTCACTCCATTTTCATCAACCCGCTGGGTCTCATAGTGTCGTCGACCGTCACATGACCTTCGACCTGTCCTCCATCTCGCTGACCCCTGCGTCCCAGTGGTGCCGTTTTGTGCTGGTGGATTTTGTGTCGTTTAGACGATGTGATATGTCAAGTGGTGTCTTTGTAAAAACCTGGTCCTGTGGCTGCGAGAGCTGGTTTGTAGTGTCACACAGCGCACAGTCACTGTGGGCTCACCGCAGTGTTCTGTCTCTGCTGTTTTCTGGCCATATGTAAGCGAAGGCGAGGGGGAATTAGGAGAAGATGTTGTTGATGTTGTGTAACATTCATATACGCTACATTTTGCCGGTGTTTGATTTTATGTAGCAGTGGTGCTAAGGGTGATGTCAGCTTTGATCTCACGTCTGTCCCCACTCTGATTCCTGTTGTATTAACTGCCAAAAAACGATTATAAAAGTCTTAATTTTACATATTAATTATTTACATACATTGTTTTAGAGGAAACATGGGCAAAAAACTATTGCCTGTTTTCTCTGAAAATGTCCTTGCTGTAGGTGCCACACTACTGCTGAATAGATCTGGGGCAACATTCAAAAATTTTCAGTGCAGTGCTTGTTGTCATGTGATAGGTGAACAGTGTATTCGTAACATTTCAATAATTTGAAGCAGAGGAAAAGTTGCAATAAGTCCTTTTATAATAAAGTTATCTGTCATATTTGATGATAAGATAATATTAATGGGTGGAGCAGAAGCCATAAAACAACTGTTTGCTTTGAATGAGTGTTTATGACTTGAAATAATAATTCAATAATAATAATAATAATAATTATAATAATTATAATAATAATAATTATAATAATAATGATAATGTAATTTTTGTGCTGTCATCCTGTGCAATTCATTGTTTTCAGGAAATGGCTGCCACGACTTCTTCTTGTTCTTCGGCTGGTTCTTTGTTTCACAATATCTCTCTCATTCTGTCTCTGACAGTATTTCAGTGATTTTGGAGTTTTAACTGCAATAAACTGATTTTTAGGATAATGTACGCCCTCTCTGTTTTTGTGTGACTTTTACACAGCGCAGCGTCATGTTGTATTTAGTCATTTATCAGTATCCTTAAATCTGCAGGAGCTTGAACACCAGGTGGAGACAAAAATACAGTCAGGACTAGAGAATTATCCATGAGAGGCTGCTGATAGAAGCTGATTGATTATTATTGACAGATCAGAGATTTTCAATTAGTGTCAGCACAAGATGTACACAATGTAACAACTCATATGGGGGGAAATATTCTCATTCTGTGGCGACAGAAGTCAAATAATCCATATGTACCAGTGTGTGTGAACAGCTACTTAAAGTGAAATATTTATGCATGTTTGTATGTTTATATGTGGTCACATAGAAGACAGTTAAAATAATAGTTATTTTATCCACCTGCTGTACATACAGTACAAAGGGCCTAAATATAAACAAATGCATGCAGTTCTTACGCTAACACTATATACACTATGCATTTTTTTTTTAAAAAACACTGAAAAATGTCGTTTTTAAAAGCAGCTATCTTTCATAGTGTAATTTTGAATAGATATCAGGGTGGGCATCCATCTGGTTTTGTTGTGCAAAACTGGCACAGCCTGTGGGGGGTGTGGGGGGGCATATGCTCTGCAAAAAAAAAAAAAAAATCAAGTTAGTTACCATTTCAATGGTAGGAAAGCCTGAGCTATTGGTAGTTTTCAAGTGTAGAGTGAAAGGGGATAGCTGTAAAATATATTGATGCTGAAACCCCTCTCTATTCATAGGCTGCAGTGCGTGAACAATCTTCAGCCTGGAAAGACACTGGGCCACTGCATGGACAATCTGACACAATTGGGGTGAAACGGGCCAGAAAATACTATTCTCTCCCATTCTCTTCTATCAATCGGGGCTTAAAAACTCTGCAGAAAGAGAGGCAGGAGAGGGAGAGAGCGACAATTAGCGAGAACCTTTAAGAGAAAACCCCTCCACGGCGAGGCAGTTATCACAGAGGCTCGGTTTATGGCTAAAAAGAAACAGATTTGTTTTTCCGCGCCCGAAAATTGGAGCAGTGAAGTTGCAGATGTGAGCTTATTGCAAAGGAATGCGTTTTAGCCCCCCCCCCCACTTCACTTGTGTTGCGCTACAAGAGAAGAGGGGGGACCACACAGATCCTGGGTTTCATGCAAGGAAAATTATAAACATTTTCATCCAGCCTATCTCTTCATATACCGAGAGGATTTGTGCCGCTGTAGGCCTGGAGATGGGTCCCACGGCTGACTCCTCAATGACGACCAATCGGTGGCCAGGATTGTAAATGAGAGAGAGAGAGAGGGAGAGGGAGAGGGGGGAAGGAAAACTTTTCTTTCTTTTTTTTTTTCGACAGGAGGAGGGGTGTTGTGGGGAAATGCTCGGCGGACCGTGAAGCGTAACAGCAAGAAGGGGGACAAAGACGCACATAGCGGTACGAAATGCGACAGATAGAAACCTCTTCTGAGTGAAAAAAAAAAAACCATAGGAATGCGTGGATGGATTTTAAAAAGTGGTAGAGCTGGTGGAAGACGAGTCGAAACTAACAATGGCAAGAAAGATGAGTTCAAGTGTGCAAACTGAGTTGTGGACAAACACTGTGGTTAGACTGCGCGTTAACTTTGGATAAGCCCTGCGGCGCGGCGCACTGTCCACCACCTCGTATCTGCACCGGAGGCATGGAGCAGACGCAGACTGCAGTTTGGAGTAGGATTCCTCACTTTTAGACGGACGTGCTTCTCGGGATGACTGTTGCCGCTGCGCTGTTTCCCCTTTTTTTTTTTTTTTGCAGCCACGCGTGGTGATTTCCCTGAGTCAGATCCTGACTTCCACTGTTTAAAGCTGTGCAGGAGGAGGCAAACTCAACCAACGTGCGAGTTTGTGGATAATTTTCTAAGTGATCAAGTGTAGCCTATATATATATTTTTTTTTTTTCGACTGCGCTGGTGACAAAATGTTTGGTTACAGAAAAACATGTATGGAATACTTATGTGAACTTCAGTCTGTGAGATTCCGTGTGTGAATTGTCCATATCCTAATGTGCTGGTGGAGAAAGTGCACGTCACCGAACTAGAACTCCATCCAAGCATGAAATGTTGGTGCAGCGCCCTGGCACTTCTCCCATGGGTGCTGGTGGCCATAGATGCCCAGCTAATCTGCTGGCAGGCGCTCCTTCGGTGCCACGACGAACCTGAGTGTGATCTCGCGTACAGTCAGTACTTAGCGGCCTGTGAGGGGAACATCCGAGGGACGAGGAGGCAGTGTCCGAGCCACTGCATCAACGCGCTGATCAGGCTCAATCACACCCGCAGCGGGCCGGACCTGGAGACCTGCGACTGCGCCCAGGACCTGGAGTGCCTCAGCGCCAAACAAGCCATAGAGCCGTGCCTCCCCCGCAGATACCCGAGCGACGCCGGGGGGATAGGGTGCATGGAGGCCCGGCAGCGCTGCGAGGAGGACAGCAACTGCCACACCTCCCTCACGGCCTACTTGTCGTACTGCGGGCAGTTGTTCAATGGCAGGAAGTGCTCCTCAAAGTGTAAAGCCACCATTCAGCAGATGCTGTTCATTCCAAATGGCATGCTGCTCAACCGCTGTGTTTGCGATGGGGTAGAGAGGCCTTTCTGTGAAGTGGTCAAGGAGAACATGAGCAAACTTTGCGCCATAGGAGACCACAATGTTATTTCAGACCAGCCTGATGTGGAGGACATGTATGAGGATGAGGACTATGACCCTAAAGGTGACAGAGAGGAGGTGTATCCTGACCATTCCTCTGCTTCCCAGAGGTCGTCCAGCTGCATGACCCTCCTGTTTCTGTCTCTAGCACGGATATTATACTGAGAGGATCGGTACTTGAAACATTTGTTGGCTTTATAAATGAGCGTGTGTGGGGGGGAAATGACTGTTCAAGAGTGTAAGGTCACTCTTGACTTACTCTAAGACACTTCAGCACAGCCTTGTGTTGCTGGCACAGAACTTGAACCCAGGTCTGCTGGATGAGGAAAGTTATTTTTCACCCACAGGACTCCGTGCCTTACCATTAGTTGCATGGAGACAGAGAGCACAGTAGTGATTTGTGTAGGCTTTCCACAACTGTACAATTTGCATAGTTATTCTGACTCAGGAAAACTGCTCTTTTTGATTTGTAATTCAAATCCTCCCGTAGATGGCCTTGCAGTGCTCTGAGTGAACTGCTCACTTTTTTGCTGAGTAGAGGAAAGCCTGTTGAGAAAAATGGCAAAAATATTTTCAAGGTGACGGTGAGAGGAAATGAACCAAAACCAGACTTTTTTGCAGGGCATTGCCATTTTGTGTGCCTTTAAAAAAAAAAAAAAGCTCCTGTTTCTTTGGTTTGGTTTGAATGGTACTTGGAGTGTGGCTTTATTAAGACCTTAGACAAACATTGGACCCATACAGTCTCTGTTTGCTCTGCTCTCCATTTCAGGGGCCACTGCATTGTTGCAGAAACCACACTTCAAATATTTGTGGGAACAGTCAGAGGACAGGCAAGGGTGTGGGATCAAGTACTTAAATTAACTGAAGCGCCTCTCTAGCACTCTGTCTGGGGCCCCTCCCCCGGTTGAGATTGTTTTATTGAACTTTTCCTGAGACCCCGCCGCCCCCCACCCCTCCTTCCTCCTCTCTACTGCCTGCCCCCTTTCACGCCTTTAAAAGACCCCCATCTTTATTACTGCTTTCACACTGAAGCAACAACCGAGGAAAACCTGTCTGCTGCTGGTGTGAGGAGGGTCAACATATCATACCTGCAGTTTGTCCGCAGCTCTGCTCGTGACAGGAGGTCTGACACCGCTTGGTTTTGTTATGCAGGAAACTTTAAACAAACCGCGTGATTAGAACGTAAATTAGTTTTTATAAACTCACTGAACAAAGAAAGTTCATTTCATGGGTATGAAGGATTATTATTAAGTGACTGTAGCAGTGTCACAACAGTGACAACAACATATTCACTCAGAAATAGTCTGACATGAATGGTCAAGCACAGGTTGAATGCATGTTAATTATTTTGGTCACACAGCACTTGTGAGGAGTTTGAGAGTGTTGCTAACTAAAGCAGAGTTTTCTTAGGCCACGTTTTAACATGCAGGGTTGTCACTAAGTGCTTTTTAAATGAACTTGCACAAATACACATAAAGGTCAAACTAATTACAATGAGATTTAGTTCAGTTCACAAATTCCTCATAAGTGTCTTCTTTGAGGGCTTTTATTTTGTGTGTTTTTGTTGTTGGAAACATTTACATAATAAGATGCGCTATATGGCGACTAAGCAGCGTACAGAGCTGATGTTACCTGTTTGTACTGTAGGTCCAGGAAGTCGAACCAGCAGCCACGTTAAGCTGTTTAGCAAAAAGGGAAAGTAAAAAAAAAAAAGTTTTTGTTTGTATTGATCACTTGTAAAATGAAGCTGTCCATTTGTGTCTCCGCCACTTGAAATAGTGTCAAAACTAATCTTTTTTTGTTTTGGTATGAAGTTTTGAACAGTGTAGATAAATGTTAAATTATGAAGCTAGAATATGAAGAATGTGTATATATTTTACAGTTATATGCAGTAAAATAAGCCAGTGTGTGGCCACTGTCACAGCAAGTTGCATTTAATACAAAATAAACACACAAATGTAGCTCAGATTTTGTCCACAAAGCCTGACATCATTTAGATTTTCCAGTTTTTCATCTCATTTTATGGAAACATGGCAGTGAACACCTCAGAGCATGTGGGAGGGTGAGTTTTATAATAAAATGTTTATGAGCTAAAATTGTGTAATGGTGTGATTTGAGCACAGAGACATCAAGCAAGTAAGAAATGTGACCAAGAACATGACTCAAAAAGCTTCTAACGACTGATGAAGCTTGACTTTTGTAAATTGTACATGAACTCAAAGTCTTTGGTTCAGGAAACCTAGTGACCCTATGATTTGCTGAAAGAGGTTTATGCTTCAGTGGTGTGTGGGAAGTATGTAGCGCACATAGTTATTAATTTAAAACAAGATTTTTTTTTTTTTTTTTTAATTTACTGGCTTTCATCTGAACGCAGTGATATTTTGTCACATCAAGTTTACACCACGGAATATTTTGATGACACCAGTTTTAGGCTGCTATAGTAACTGAAATCCAAAAAAACAGAGGTTGTTATTTGAAAATGTCAAGTGAGCTCAGTGACTCCACAGTGAGCACCGCATGTTGCTGTGTTTCACTCGCTAATATTTAAGGGATTAGGTCAGTGTAACTGAAACCTGGTGAGGAATTTTAAGTGTCTAGTCGTTGCCCAATACATCCTCATTGGAGCAAAAACAGCAAATCAGGATTCTTCTTTCATTTTAGGCTCAACTTGTAATTAAACCACCAACACAGTTTTTAGAGTAGGAGGGCATGTAGGCAGTCATGGAAACATGTACATTCATCCAACTGAGCTGGTGTCAGTTTACTGTAGACACTCAAATTTGCCTCCAGTGTATTGACAGACTTTGCTAATGACCAAAAGGCATTTGGTGCTTGTTCCGCACTTACTTTGACTTCACAAGTCATTAACAAATTGTAAAAGAGTCATTTAACATTGCTGCTAGGTGTCAGGTGCACAAGTGTTTTACAAATGTAACAACTCAAATCCAAATGGTATAAAAGTGCAGTGGCAAGAGTAGAAAATTAACAAAAAATATGGCCATTATTTTTTGATAAAAGACGTTTCTGTGACGCACATTTGTCTGTGTGCCCCCAGCCTCGCTTCACATGAGTAATTAGAAGTCTGTTACTTGAGTTAACAGGTGGCAACATCTCCAAGTGTGGAGTGAACGTCTGCACAGCTTCTCCTGATTTTTCGTTAACCACAGGAATCCTCAGACACTTCCAACCATCTATTGTGTCATAAAAACTTGGAGATAGAAAAACAAAGTGGCCCACAGCTACAGTTTAGCCCGACTCCCTCTAGTTTAGCTAGATTGTCTTTGATCCAATCTGTCTTAACCATTGCCATGCATCTTAAAGCCCTCCAATACAACCACTCTGCTCCCTTCAATCCCCCCACACCCCCCACCCCCACCTCCTCATCCCGATTCTGGGAGCAAAATCAAAACAAACATGAGCAGAGCAGCCTTGGGGAGTTGAGTGTGTGGAGGGAACAGGGGGATACAGAGGCAGCACTGTGCTGGGGCCCATTTTCTAAATTATCTTTATTCAACATTTCTCTGAAACAACCCCCCCCCCCTCCCCTCCCCTCCCCTCCCCGACCCCCACTCTCTCTTCACTGCTCCAAAGTGGGAGTGACCTGAGGATTTAGGAGGCTCTTGTCTCTCAAAGGTACAATGTTCCATTCATGATAGCCATCGAGCCACAGTGAATGGCTGACCTGCTCTCTGTTTTCAGGGCAGGGGTTGCTGGAGTCAAGGGCAGACAGATCCTTCAGGTCTCGAGCACAGAGACCCCTCTTTACGGGTGACGTTGATGCCAATTTAACTCGACCGCTGTCCCATTAACAGAATCAAGAGAGGAAGATAGAGAGAGCCGGGGGCCAGAACGTGTTGCTGGATCTGAAGCAAAATGGAGGCTGATTAAAGCCACAATGCTGTAGGTTGTGGTTCGGAGGGAGTCCGGGGGTTGTCTTTCCATCTCAGGACCTCCCTTTTCCGCGTTGCATTGCTATAATGATATTCTGTGCACTTTTTGGGGGGTAATATAAATTGGCAGTACTCCCAGAAACAAGCAACAAAGCAAGCACCAGGGTCAAAATTGCATCCAAACTTTTCCTGGCAGCAACATGCTCATACACAGCCACACATGCAGCACCCAGTGGTTCTCCATCCTGTTGTTCCAGCACTTGGGGCCATGCTGCTCTCTGTTCTAACCATAAAGTCTGGGAGTGATTTACACCTGGCATGCCAGGTGAATGTGATTAACCAGATGGTGGGGCAGAAAACAAACATTACTCTGACTCCTGGTCGGATTTAAAAACCACTTGTTAAACCTAAGGCAACTACAGCCGCACTCTGTATCTCACTGCTTTTAGGAGAACTTTGGTGTTTTGCTGATGATTTTCACAGGATTTTTAGCATCTTTTGAGTCAGTATTTTAAAGGAGGTGTGCAGAGTTATTATTGCGCTTCCATAAAGCTCAGAGGAAACAGATTTAAAAAGGATGATCAACACTAAAAACAACAGAGGCAGAGATATCCAGGCTTTTTGTCCCAGTATGGGTCAAGCTCCACAAACAGAGGATGATACATTCGCCACAATGCAACTGGCCGGTGTCTTTACAATCTTTCAAACTCCATATTCTCAGTTTGTAACACAGACTCATCTCTAAGCCAAGATAACCCTGATGATATCATAATGACATCATGAGGGTTACTTTCTCAGACTTGACAAAGCTCCTCCAGAGCTACAAAAAACCCTCCTGGTTGCGCAGAATGAACCATCATTACAAAACAGTGTGTGTAAAATCAGAGAGCCCCTTTAAATAAGATTGGTTGATCATATTTTATCCTTTTTCTAATTTTGCTGGAGCTAATCCAGTGCTCATCCTGCTCTGCCTCTCAAATGGTTCTTTTTTTTGACAGTTTTTGTAGAAGCAAAATAATCACTCCAGGTTACATTTCTCTTCTTACAATGAGTGCAACAGTACTGGGTAATTATGAGCAATCAGTAGAAAGAGGTGCAGCTGCCATTGTGCTGTGAAAAGAGCTCGATCTATCATGCATGGCAGAAGAGCTACGGGGAATGAAGGGAAAAAAGATAATATACTTGTAATGAATTCTTTGTGTAATTCCCATAGTTTTGTAGATCTGGAAATTTTCAGATTCAGTTTCCATAGTTTCCCAGACCATATGAATCATATAATTATAAAATGTCCTTACTTTCCCCTGCCTGCCTTCCTCTATCCTCCCCTTGTGGACCCGAGCCAGCTGTTTCTACCGAGCGGCCTTCCAGATGATGACGATGGCGAGGGAACAGCAGCAATGCTCCCACGACGGCATATAAATCTTTCCTTAGGTTCTGAAAGTCGAGCGTTTGCCTTGCGCTGTTGACAAAACATCTAAAGAAGTTTCAGACTACAGCGACTTAAGAGATTACCGTTTTATTTTTCCACTGAATTTCTCATTTAATAAATACATAGTAAAATCACAGCTGTATAAACATTCAAATAAAAAATAAAACAACACAGCAATGTGGAAGTCCTGCCAGGAGACATATTTATACTTTTCCTCATTCGACTCCTGTTTCAGGTATTTTCTTCAGTTGCCTGAAAAATCATATTCACAAAGTAAAGCTTCCTTTTGGAGTACTCAAGCACTCTACCTGTCTGAAATCAAAACAGTCCATGACGACCTACAACAGCGTGGATTATCAGCCTGCTACGACTTCTAAGCTTTCTACCGTTTCACAGAGGCCTAGTTATAAGACTTTGCTTGAGCACCACAACTCACTGTATCCCTCAAATACTCGTCCATTGCCAAACCTAAGAAAATGCAAGTCTAGTGTAAATAAGGCAGAGGCCGCACCTCTCCAGTTTTCCCCTCATAGTGGTGGAGAGGGCTCCATCAGCGGAGAGAGCATGGTGAGCCTGTGGTTGAGCCACAGTAAAGGCAGTGGGGAAGAGGGGGGTGAGGGAGTATGTGCATGTTTGCAGAGGCCTTGATATAATATACCTAATACTGCAGTTCAAAATTGTTGTGATGCTTAACATCACAGCCCACATTTGACTGTACTCTCAGGTTTTCACAGTTTTTAGGTGTGCTGCAAACACTTCTGAATGTCCTGCCCTGAAAAAAAAATCCAACAGTCTCAGTTTAACTCGTTTACCATGACAGTGTGGTATTGTCATACAAGCTGTCCAGCATTAACATATCAATGGTGTGTCAGGAGGAGGGATTTGAGGCTAAGCAGTGCACCAACACAGTGTAAAGAGCAGGGAACTAACTTTCACATTCACCAGTGTGCAAATCCAGAATTCAACAGTGATTTTCAGTATTTTACCAGCCAAACATTTTGTTCCTCTGATAGAATAAACACAAGTTTTCTACATGCCAAATCATCTGGTAGAAAAAACTTTTGAGCCAACAACCAAAACATGGACCACATTTGGCTGGCAAGTGTAATATCCCACCCAGACAGCGCACTGACTTGGTTGGGGTGAGGTGTGATGCAGGTTTGATTTGGCCCCAAAAGAGCCGTGGTCGGGTGAGAGCTCTGTGTCCAACCTGACCACTGACAGGCCGTCTGCTACTCTGTAAAGCGTCCCAGCTGGTTCCCATGGTCTACGCCAAACTCACTGCAAACAGCAGGCTGAGGAGACAGAATTTATTGATTTGTGTTAGGGTTCACCTTTTCAAGATTATAACACATTTCCCATTTTAAATTCCGTATTATACTTTAAATAATAAAGCAAATGCAACTCCATGGGATCAGTCCTTCACTGATGTGTCTGTCTGTCTGTTGTCTTTTCACGATTACACAGAATAATATTTTATAGTCCTTTTTTGGACAAATTTTACGTCCAATTCATTTCAAATAGTCAAACCCTCAAAATCTCAATGTTATTAAACAGCAAACATGTATCATAAATTCTAGCTTTATTGTGACTATTATTAGATAACACTGATAACAGTACTTACAACTTTAAGATGAGGACAGCTAGGTATATTCAGATTATCTATTATCTATCTTATCCTTTAAAAACAATTAAAAGATAATGAAAAAAATATACCTCTATAAAGCACATTTTCAATGGACACCCTGTATTAATGTAACCTTTGTTCATAATAAAAACATGTATTTACTTGGTATCCTACTAAGCAGTGTATGTAATGTGTGGTGTGCTTTTCTTGTTCATTGTCAATTAATGAAATAATGCAACTTGAATGAAATCTTAACATAATCCTTTACATTTTTAATGAGCTATATACTATACTAGTATAAATACTGTCCCTGGAGGAGGAGAACACCTTCATTTTCCATTTGTTGCTACATAAACTGAACATGGAAATACCTCTGTCAAGTATTTTGCGTGCTCGCCCTTTCAGGCCTTTAAACTGATCATGCAGGTGATGTCTTGTGGTCATAGACTAATTTAACTTTGCTAATCAGAGCCAGTGCAGCTGCTGCCATACAGAGTACCGCCATGTACCATATGATGTCAATTTAACTCAGGGAGGGTTAAGTGCTTCGGGGACATTTTAACTGGGCCACTGAAACACTGTCTGCAGCTTAACGTCTGAGATGTTTGTCTGAGGGTTACAGTGTGATAGCTCTCAGTGTAACTTTGCTGCTTGTTTTGGTGTAGTCTAAGGTCAGCAGACAGACTTGGGCGTTGCTGCGACCCTCTGTAGTACAGCTGCTGTTGGATCAGCGCCAGCTAGTACGGCTGACTGTGCCGTGGTTTTATTAAAATAACAGCAGCAGAATAAGAAGCCACGTTCTTCATGAAACTTGAGTGGCCTCTGGAGTCATTGGTGCCCCCCCCCCTTCCCATTTTTTTATTCATAATTCCCCAGGAATGTCTTACTAAGAACAGGATATTGTCTCGGCTTTAGGTATCCACTATCCATCTAGAAGCTGAGCCCAGAAAATACTGGGAATAAGGGTATGAATATATAAGTTACAGCTAGGGAAGTTGAAGTATATTAAAATGTAACTCATATTAATAATACAATGCTTTTAATATAGTTAACTAGTAGGAAGGAGGAGAAAGGAATGAAGTGTATGCATGTGCTGTTGTTGTTTCTGCTGTTTGTGTGTTAGGAGGGTACTTTTTGCTAGTCTCACTTTCACAAGGTTGGCTTTACAAGAGGGCAGAGGACAGAGCGGCCCAGGGCTGCACTGAAATGAAATCAAAGAGCCAGACAGTGCTGCGGGGCGGCCAGCACAGCAAGAGAATGGCTCATATTTTACTAGTGGAAAAATCACCACCGAAAGGACGTTTCATTACAACTTTAGACAGCCATTCCTCATTTAATCCCCCACCACCTTCTCGTACCAAACCTCCATAGAGTCACTTATCAGTGCAAGGTTCCCAAAAACACACTCTCAAGGCCAGAGGAATAGTTTACACAACACAGCAGGGAAACTCACAGCTTCTGACAGAGTCTGCAAGAGGTTCTCGATCCAGAGAGACATCTCTCTGAGTCTCCTGCATCTGAAAAATTGAAAAATTTGAAAAATTTGAAAACATATGCAAGTAATCACCTAAAACTAACAAACAACTTTATGAAAGAGAAAGAAAAAGAAACCTCAATTTCTCTGTTTTTTTTAAAAAATTAAATATATTCTGTGTTGTCAGATACAAATGAACTCACACAGTCTGAAGATGTATACCTAATCCTTCAGTGAAATACTGTTGAATACTGATGAGGAACACATGCTTACCATGATATGCTTTTTGAGGTATTCAGCTCTGGTCATAAGGCTTTTAATCTGGTGAGAGGACATACAATTCCAATAAATTTCATTACACTTAAATTTATGCTTTCAACACAAGTGTTTGCTGGAGCTCTAATTAGAGAAATATGTTTTCCACCAATGTTCTTGCAGCATGGCTTGCAATGAAATGAGGGTCGGACTAGGCAGCTGGGCAGACTGTGCAAAACTCCAAATTTCAATATTATGAAAGGTATTGCATATGGCGGGAGATATCACAATATTCGGTCCAAGCCTAGAATCCAACCAACGTTGGTGATCCCCTGACCTTTCCTCTAGTGCCACCACGAGGCATCTGACATCTTCAGGTATTTCAGTTGGTTTTAGTTTGTGAAATATCTCTGTAGATTGCAATTGACTGACTCAATGACTTTGAGATTAGGGCTCTGTGGGGGGACAGACTGCCTGTTTCAGGCTGTTTTGTGGCTGATTGGTGTATATATATATATATATATATATTTTTTTTTTTTACAAGAGGCCTTAAAAGTTATCAGCATACATATATATACAGTGCTGCTTGAAAGTATGTGAACCCCTTGAGCAGTTCAGATGTTTCTGTTGTTTACCATGATTTTCTTATTTTATCATCACCAGTTTTTATGTATGAAATGTCAGATATATGTTTCATCAATTGCTTGTACTTTTTTAGTGGAACTTGTTTAAGTAGCCCAAAAACTACATGAAACATGGAATTAGTGCATGTGCAAAAGTAAGTGAATCCCCAGCTGCATTGGTTAAGTCAAGCAGGTAACAGACTCAGGTGAAATACATTTGAGTGCTTAATTAATCATTTCAGTAGACCAATGAAATGAGACATCCTTGGGAAAGGGATTGGCCTGCACTAATTAAAAGAGAGAGGAAACCAACCAAACCAACTTGGTCCCATACACATCAACAATGCCAAGAGGAAAGGAGATATCCGAGGACATGAAGAAGAGGGTAGTGAAAGCCCATCAGTCTGCGGAGGGATATAAGACCATCTCCAAAAGATTCCAGCTCAATCCATTGACTGTAAAACAAATAATTTACAAATGGAGGGCCTTCAACATGACAGCAACTCTGCCTAGAAGTGGGCGCCCATCAAAACTATCACCCAGAGCCACCAGAAAAATAATAAATCAGGTAAAGGCCAACCCACACATCACCTCTACAGAGTTGCAGACTTCTCTGGTAGCATCCGGGACAAATGTGCATGCGTCTACGATCAGACGAAAATTGAATAGCCATGGCATTCATGGGAGGGTTGCTAGAAGGAAGCCTCTGCTCTCAAAAAAGAACAAAGCTGCCCGTTTCAACTTTGCCAAAGAGCACTTAGACAAACCAGAGGCCTTCTGGGAGTCCATTCTCTGGACAGATGAATCTAAAGTAGAGTTATTTGGTCACAATCAAAACCGCCATGTTTGGAGAAAAGCCAACACTGCAAATGAAGAAAAGAACCTCCTCCCTACAGTGAAGCATGGTGGTGGAAATGTGAAGATCTGGGGCTGCTTCTCTGCTTCTGGAACTGGGCGACTCCATATTATCCAGGGAACCATGAATTCTCAGGCATATCAACAAATTCTTGACCAGAATCTCCTGCCATCAGTCAAACAGTTGAAGCTGGGACGAAAATGGATTATGCAACAAGACAATGACCCGAAGCATTCCAGCAAAACTACAAAGGAATGGCTTCAGAGAAAGAGGATTCGTACTCTGGATTGGCCCAGTCAAAGTCCAGATCTAAATCCTATTGAAATGTTGTGGCGAGACCTGAAGAAGATGGTACATGCCAGATGTCCCTCCAACCTCTCTCAACTGGCTGAGTTCTGCAAGGAGGAGTGGGCAAAAATCCCCATGAGCAGATGCGAGAGACTGGTTAGAGGTTACAGAAGACGTTTGGTTGAAGTAATGGCTGCAAAAGGAGGAGCCACAAGCTACTAATGGAAGGGTTCACATACTTTTGCACATGTTACATTTTCAGTGTTTGTGAAATAAACCACATTTGTTGAATTACATAATGGAAAAATATCTCTTTTTGTGTGTGTGTCAAGTATTTGGAAAGTGTGCTTTACAAATTAGGATTTGGATGTCTGTTAAATAAGGTTCTTTTAATGTTTTTTACAAAAACAGTGACCATGTCTGGAAGGTTCACATACTTTCAAGCAGCACTGTATATGTATGCAAGATGATTGTTAATAACTGTGAGGATCAGAGTTTAGTCTCTAGTTGACTGAGCTTAAACCTGCAATAACCGATCAGTAATTATCAATAATTATCAGCATACATATATATATATGTATGCTGATAACTTTTAAGGCCTCTTGTAAAATCAGAAGATGAATCTGTACAAATTAGTTTTTCTTTTTGTTAAAAACTTTAAATTACCAGGAAGCAGGAAACACAATGACTTTAAGATGCTAATGGACAGACACTCTTCGTCCAAATCAGATTAAACTCATCTGAACTCTGCTGATCTGCTTTTTGCTCTTTCTGTTATTTTTTGAAAACATTTCATATGGTACACATGTGCAAACAGTAACTACTGTCGTCATATGCTTCAGGGTGCTCTTTACTGTGGTAACCACTTCTCTGGTGTTGATGAAGGTTCTTGGCTGCTCCTCATACCTACATGTATCAGCACAATGTCACAGTATAAAGCAAGCCCTCTCGTGTATTACTGCAGGAACATCTGAGGGTCATAATGACGGGAGACCTAAACTGATGGCTTCCATAATGTTCCTTTAAAACACCAATCTGTTGTGGTAAATAATCATTCTGACCACAGGTTTTTAGGATCCAGCTCTGACCTTATCCAGCCACAGCACTTTAATCACAGTTCCTTTAATCACCATATACAATAAATGTGGAAGAAATCTGCACGAGTGAGCAAGGGAGATATCGATAACTTGCAGAGCACCATGGTATGTACAGGCCTACTGAAACACAGGACAACAGGACCTCACATATGTTCAGCCATAATGACACTATGTCAACATACACTGGTTAGATCAAAGCTATGGTCCACATATGAGAAGCCAGGATATTGAATTACAGCTTGCTCTACAGTAGATATGAACGCACATGGAGGCCAGTCATGGCAGCATGTGTTGGCTCTTTTGGGTTCTCACATACACACATGCTTTCGATCTAATCTCCCACCCCCGCCTCCCTAATGCTGTGTTAGATTATTACAGCCGCATCTGAATTTACTTAAGACAAGCACCCATAAAACTTCAAATAGGGAGGTCTATGAGGCCCACTCAAACCCCCATCCCCTTTTGGGGTTTGTTGGTGAAATACTGTTGTCTGTTGCAGACTTAGTTGCTGGCTAAACAAACTGCACAAAAACAAAAGGGCTTGAAGCTTTAATAGCAGGCATGCATGACTTTTTGCATTTGTTTGTCAAAGCAGAATATCAATGCTAGTATTCAGGATTTGATTCCTGAAAGTTACAGCCAGCAAATTTACTGGACCATCAAAATTTAGGGTTTATTCAAGTATGTTCAGGTTAGTACCCAAAAGCAAGGATGCGGTCCAAAGGAAAAGTCTTCTCACAAAATGAGAGGTATAAGGAGAACTTTGCTTGTGTATATTAAAAAAATTATTACTATAATTCATTAAAGTCATTGATTGGAACATACAGTATATATGTAAGCCAAAATGCTTTTTGTAACATATATTATGAAGTTATGGACAATGTGTTTGTTAAGTTCAATATCAACTTCAACTCAACCAAGATGATTGTTAATAACCGTGATGATCAGAGTTTAGTCTGTAGTTGACTGAGTTTAAACCTGCAATAACCGATTTATAATAAACACAACACTCACATACAGTAGAGTATTATCACCTTTTATGCTAATATGGACAACCTCATCTAATGGAACAACATTAGCATTCATTTTGAATCATGTCCAACATTCGGCATCTTTTTAGCTCTTTTTTGGTTTCCACCAACTCCTGATATAAATGAACAGCTCTTTAGTTAATAAAAGCTCAACTTTGTTCACCAGTTAGATGCCAAATTTGTGTCTCTGCTGTTTGAAGCAGTAAAAACAGCAAAGTTGCAGAAAAACCAAAACAAACTGACTGAATGACGCTTTAAAGCTTCGCAGAGCTGACAACAGAGTTGGGTGATAATCCTCGATTTGCCACAACATGCGACTCCTTTCACATAAGTGGTCATGTGATCCATCACTTAGAGCCACTTTAAGAATCCAATTATAAAGTGGACAGTGATCTATGTGTATGAAACAGTACTATAGATGATAGATTACATTATTTAGCCTTAACCATATAAAACAAGCACATGTGACCATAGGAGCAAGACTCACGGGTCATGTGATGGAGCTACTAGTGTGCTCTCAGAGCTAGTTGATCAGCAGAGGGCTTGTATGAGGTGACAGATAAGTTGTTCCTACCGTGAGCACTCAACCAGAAGACCTTCCTGGCCCACTCACCTCACTGTGGAGCAGCTCTCTCCTGCGGCCCTGGGGCTCAGCTGGCTCACAAAGAAAGAGAGAAAAAAATAAGACAAAGAAGAATGAGGAGAGGAAGGGAGGAGCGAGTCCAGTACCTAATCACCTTGTTTGTTCAAGGAGAGGTCAACTACTAGATTGGATTTTGCTAGCGTGCAGACTGGGGGCTCAAGGGTGGAAATGGTTCTAATGTAAGCCAGTGTTTTCACAGTCAGTCATCCTGGAGGGGAGACTGACAGAAGAGGAAAGAGTAAGAGAGAGAGAGAGAGAGAGAGAGAGAGAGAGAGAGAGAGAGGGAGGGGTCTCTCTGATGGCAAAGGCATTTTGGGAAACTGCACAACAAAGAGCTCCTAACCAAACAAAGAAGCAATGTTTTCTCCCCACAATCCCCCCTGGTGGTATCTGATGTGCCACACAGTGAGGCTTCCTGATACCAGAGAGAGAGAGAGAGAGAGAGAGAGAGAGAGAGAGAGAGAGAGAGAGAGGCTGGTTGGGATGGGTCTATTCTTTGTACACTATTTCTTGAGCTACACACTACATAATAACTGCACACAAAGACAAGGTGATTAATGATTTAAACATGGATTTATCTAGAGTAGTCCATTGCAATCACATTACACAAATTCTGGGTACTGCAGGCCAAGGATTCAGTTATCTCTAATTTGGGGTGACAAACTTGGAAAGCCTCCTGGTGCAGGGACTCATGTAATATGGTTTTCCCAGCTTTCCCTATCACTGAATGTGTGGTCAGCCATTCACCATAAAGAGCTGCTAAACCACACAAAAGAGGTTTTTAGATGAATAACGAGTTAATCAAGAAAAAAGAGCAAACTAGTGAATACCTGCAGTTAAAATAAAACCAACTGGCAGAAGATTAATCTGACTCTACCCTAAGTATCAGCACCTAATGGATGAACCTTAGCTGGGACTGGACTGGGCTGGATGATGAGAGCTCTCGTCCATTAGTAAGATAATAGTTTTTATTTGTTTCCAGTGTGTAATAACACAAAGCCTGACTGAATGGGAAGCAGATGGCAGGACTCTCATACCACACACAGGGCGCTGGCACCGGGTCTCATCCCAGCTCAAAGCCACATGTGGATCACTCTATCCCACCTCTTCCATTAGGCCGATCTTCCAGATGAGCTCATGAGCCAGGGCTAATGGACGCCAGGCCGCAGAGAGAGTCGCTGGAGACTCTTCTGTAGTTCCTCTGTCTGTTTGTCTGTCTCATTAGTGTCCCTGTCTCTCTTTAAGCCAATTGCTTCACTCTGTCTCTCTCTCTGTCAGTTTGTCTTTTGCTCTTTCTACATCACTTTCTCTAAGTTATTTTCCATCTATGAGAGTTTGAGTCTTTTTTATATTCATTTCCATCCATCTCTCTCTGCAGTCTCTCTGTCTGGTTCAGAGTCTCTCTGTTTCCAGTTAAGTCCCTCTTAATCTATCTCTGTATCTTTAGTACCTCTCTGAGACATTCTTGTTGCTCTTCTTCAGCCTTTTCCTTGAGTATTATTTTCTTTGTTAAGCAATTTCTTGACCTGTCTCAGTTTCTGGCTGTACCATGGACTCTAATTGAATTTATGACCTTGTCCTTGCCCGTATGTGCCCGTATGCCTTCGCTCTTTCAAAATAACTATTCCTCAAAGTATCTCTTCTTCTGTTTCTGTAATAACAAATGTGCACAAGTATCAGATGTGGGACTATATTATGGTTTAACTTTCTTTCTCTGTCACCAACTACAGCCAAGGTCTCCTTGGCATGGCACTTGCATTTTGGACTACAGTGGAGTGGCTCAGTAGCCAAGAGTAGCGAGGGAAAAGATAACTGTGTAAAGCCATCATCTATGGAAAGAGTTTATCTACCTGCTAGCAGCAACAGTAGTTCTCCTAAGCACTGCTGGTACACATCCAGGGCCACATGATCATCCAGTCCACTCTCTTCCTGTCAGGGAATGAAGATGAGGTAACACAATGTTTTAAATCAGACCACAGAGATACTTAATAATAATTCATTTAACTTAATACTGATACTGCCAGTCTGTTAACATTGGTCTAAACAGCAGAGGCACACATATAAAAAGGTTTGCACAACAAGCACAAAGTCAAATAGTTTTTGGTTCACCAGTCTTCTTAAAAGATGCGGTTTGGAAGGTTTGTGGTTTGTACCCTGTCACTTTGTTTGTTTTTTTATACCACTTCTGTTTCACTCTGCCTTTTGGTACATCTCTGAAACAGTAGCATCATCCAGCAGTAACCCTAAGCTAACCTTAGCAATGGCAGTAGAGGCCATCTCCAAAGCGGCCTGCAGTCGTGGTTGGTCTCGAGACATTTCTGAAATAGCAAGGAAACAGAAAAAAAACGACTTAGAGTCCAACTGTGTACCTGTCTAAACATAGCATCAATGCATTCTACTAGAAAATAAACAATAGTTTGAAATCGCATGTTCACAGCAGCATCTTTAGACTCCAATAATGTGGGCTTGAGATACTTTGATTATTAAAGATTTCTTAATATTAATTTTAGGTCAACGGGGTAATTGAGCACAAGTGTTCTTGAGCAAAACACCAAATACCCAAAGAGACCAAAAGGCAGCCAGTCTGTAGCTGACTCTGACCTCTGCAGCAGGGGAAAAGAAAATGACATTTTCCTTTTATTCATTTAAGAAGTAGAAAGGATCAAACATCTTTGCTTTCTTACAGCATTTGAATGTAATTTTCCATAACAATAATCGCACATTTTTGAAGAGGTTTGTACTCACAAGAATAATAATCATAAAGGGGAAAAATGTACTAAAACACCATTATTACATTTAATTTCTCAAGCTGTCCTCTCATATAGCATCTGACCAGACAATGCTAATGCCTGCATGTATTGGCCCTGCCTCTGCACTGAGCTGTGTGCGTTACCTCGGAGGACATCCCTGGAGGTCCGGGCCTCCTCAAAGCTCAGTCTGTTGTCTGAGGCCACCAGCGCTTTCAGCTCCTCGGCTCTGGACACATACTGGCTGACCTGCAGGAAGTCCTCTTACATTGACTCAACTTAATCACATCAACCATGCCATATGCTCTCCATCCACACCATATGGTATTCATAGAGGAGAATTCATTCCAAGTGAAACTGGAGTGTCAAAAAAGGACCAACTGAAAATAGAAAGTAATCCATATGTGAAACAGGGGAGTGTTTTCAGACCTACCTTCTGCCTGAGGGCATCTTTACGTTGACGGTCCGTCTCATCTGCAGAGGGCGGAAAGTAGAGATGTTTTGGTTTTACATTTGGTGAGTTTACTTTGACAGTTTGCTGTGGTGGAACAAAGGCAGGGCATTGTTGAAGGGCTTAAGCCACAGACAGGATATGAGAGTGGTTGTTGCTCTTACAGTGAATAGCGGGGACAAAGTGCTCCAGGGCACTGCAGTACAGAGAGAGAGCGGCCGACCTCTCCCCCTCCTGGTCCTTCTGAATGGCCTGCAGGACAAGCTCTTTCTGGAAGAGAAAATAGGAACTGGCATCACTGAATGCAAACGGCTACAACTCTCCATTGCTTATGCATGCATGCAGAGTCATACGTGAAGGCACGTGGGGTAGGCATGAACACAAAAACCTATTAACACATGTGTACATGTGCTCAGTCAATCACGCACACATTATTCATGGTCATCTAGAGTATATAGACACATGCCAGCACATACTTCCCTTTCCTCATATTCTCTTACCGCTTTCACGAGGCTCTCTGCACTTGGCATGTGCTCCAAATCCACAAAAGGGTGAGTGAAGAACTCTGCGAAGGTGATCCGGGCATCTGGATTTCTCTCCAGCAGCCGCAACAGAAGGTCCCTGCAGTCTTTGGACACCCTGGCCCCGGGAGGGAGCTCATGCACAAAATACGACCTTATTATGTTGCACTCAATCCACAGGACAAGCCAAATGAAAAGGACAGCAGATTGTTGCCAAAGACCTTCTAGTCTCACATCACTACCTTCTGTCAAAAGATGACCTTAAACCTCTCTATGTGAATCCCTGGGTAATGGACCACATGCTAATGCAATCCAAAGTTCGAGCCTAATGTTTGGCACAGGAATTCAAGTTTTGCAAACCCTCCATCATTGAAAGTACTATTATCCTTTATGGTCACAATGGTGATAGAACTTAATGTTTGTGTGCAGCAGGCAAATCACGACAGAGATGCAAACACAACTTTTAATTGGCAGCTAGTAGTTATTGGTCTATTTTAACATCTCAAAATCAAGAGATAGGAAACTATTGTTTAATGTATTTAAACATCAAATTAGAATTGTATGGCATGTATCTGGTATCTGTACATATATACTTAAAGCAGTTGACTTAAAATCATTTGCATTATGTTTCTCAACAAGTCAACAACTGAACATACTGTATGTTACACAGACCTGTTTTTACACCTGTGTTTGCCAATATGTTAAGACATTTTTTTTCATTTGTATCGCAGACTGTTTAAATGTTGGATCATCTTACAATGGAGTGCCTTCACTGCCAGTCCTCCTTCAGTGAGACAAGGGTATACTGTGAAAGTGTGACATCTAGTGGTTTTACAGTGAAGATTCACAAATAAAGTGAAAAAAGCTCCAATAGTTTGAGGAAATTTGTTTTGATTACACTGTTGGATGGGCATATCGACATCTACATCTACAGGGAACAAAAGCATCTCATATAAAATAAGGACATAAAGTACATTTAATAAGAAATGTAATGTTTTTAATTCTAGTATTTTGGTTTTTATTGAGTTTAAGTGCTTTAATTTCCAGGTGATCTGATGATGTATGTGTATAGCTTAAGAGACTGAATCTATGTTTACTTAAGAAAAACTGTTAAACACAAACATGCTGCAGTAGTACAGTGTTATTGTTACTGAATGAAATGTTTACTTGAGTTCATGCTTTGGCTTTAGTTACAGTGCCATCCTTATAGCTAGTCATTTTCCCAGAACATAACTCATTATGGTCTTTCAAAGGTTTACACCATTTTTATTAGACACCATATTTGTGATCTGTAACATGTGTGTACACCAAACTATGTAGCACAATGTAGCATGGTTTTAGGGCACCAGTGCAAGCAGTGACTCATTCATACTATTCGGCAGAACAGCTGACATCTCGGTCCAGCACATTCACTAATGGGTAGCTCATTTATCACTCAACACTTACCTCAATAGGTTGGTTACTCCGGATCTTCTCCTCCAATTCAGCATAAGACCTTGATGCGAATGGTGCTCGCCCAAACAGTGCCTCTACATGCAAACAAACAACGTTGAATAGACTTTTCTAAAATTATCCATTTAGGTAAAGGGAGTATGCATGTTTCAAATGCTTCCATTTAAAAATGATCTGGCTTAAGCTACATTAAGAGGTGCCCTGAGGAGTTATCTTGTTAACAAACAAAAGCTTTTACATTGACTTGTATCCTCGATGTCTAACAAATATGTGACATGGTTTTCCTTTCTCATAAAACATTTGCGAAGTCAATTTTTTTAAAAGTATTTTCAATAATTGTTTACATCCACGTTTACTTGCTAGAGGTCTTCTTCTTCTCTGTCTTTGTTTGGGTATTGCTACATTCTGTATTTTGGTGTGTTACCGCAATCTGTAGAACAATTGAATGTCCAGCACCACCCATGTGTATGTCCATCCCTGTGCACGTGCACATCATTAAAATATACAAAAAAACAAAAAGGGACTGACACTAGAAAAACAGCTCCGTAGAACTAATAGAGGTGAAAATTTCCACAGGAATGATGTCGGTCTTTAGTGAGATATTCTTAGCAAACAGTTTGCTAATTACATGCTATTCTATTTGGCTTACGTGACTGACAGTGACAGTAACGCCTCCTATTGTACAGTTTAACTTGTCACTTCACACAGAACAATTACTGTGTTGTGCTATTGCGCTGTTATTGCACAATTACTATAACACTTAAGGGGGAGCAAACTATGCTGCCATTTTATGATTTATGGTGCAATTGTGGTTGTGACCTACTAAGTGTGCTCTTTCAGGCTCGTAAGGGAAGTCAACTGACTATCCTTTTATTGTTGACAAACAGTGGCACATTGGAAATTATTATTTATGGGTATTCATGCTTTGTCACACTAGATACTGTCCATGGAAAAAAATTGTAATTCTAATGCTACTTAGATTATATATACAGAAAAATGACAAATAAAATAACATCTTAGCCACCTAGGAGCAAACAGCCTGGTAAACTAGGTGAGGTAGCGTGTGATTCAGTCAAGAGATGAAAAGGTAAACTCAAAGTACTCACCGTAGAGAATGACTCCAACTGACCAGAGATCCACCCTGGAGTCATACTGTCGTCGGCACACCATCTCAGGAGCCATGTAAAGAGGAGAGCCTCTCAGGACACTCTGCTCATCCCATGGTGACATGTACTGGGCGAAACCAAAATCTGAGAGCAAACGAGAATGTAACCAACAAGTTCACTGTGAGAGGTCCCAGTGGATACAATCCCCCTAAACCTGCCTAAATCCTGTATAGCTCCACAAAGTTGCATGTTTTAATGCAGTGTGCACAAATGTGACCTGCTCAAAAAAATAAGTTTATTTTCTTGATCTGCAAACCTAACAGTACAATTACTATGACTGTGATTCAATGTTTCTGGTCTCTGGCACATTCCTCACATTATTACAATCACATCAGTGTGAGTTTATGAACAGGTGTGACAGTGTGCGTGAGATCACCTGCTAGTTTGAGGGCAGAGCCACTGAGAAGAATATTCTGAGGTTTCAAGTCCAGGTGTGAGATGTTTCGTTCATGGAGAAACTGTAGGGCACAGGCTGCTTATACAGACACACATACAAATACACAATTCTCTCTCATTCTCATTTCTCATACTTACAATAAATGAGCAAAAATTATCAGATTCATTTTCATATTTTTGTAATCTTCTGTGTGAATCCAACTTCAAACCCAGATTTCTGTTTGCAAATGAAAGATAATCTGCCAAACTCGTAATCTCAGCCAACTTTCTATTTCATATTATTTCTACTATTTTTTTTTTTTTAACAATTCCCCACATAATGAAGAAAAAAAGTCACATGCTACACAAATTAAATGTAATATAAATTGTAATGTAATTGTAATGCTGATTTCGTAAAATCTCATCACATACTCTGGAGGTACACTTTCCATTCATTTCTAACTGCCTGCCAGGTCTGGCAATTACTCACCTATCTGTTGCAGGAAGCGGCGGGCCACCCTCTCAGGTAAAATCCTGCGACTGCGGATGAAGCGTGAGAGATCTCCACCAGAAGACCACTCCAAAATCAGATAAATATTCTCAGCATCCCACTAATGAAACAGAAGAAAGAAGACACTCAGAGAGAGATTCAAAGGAAGAATGTAACTGTTTCCTTTTCTGAACACAAAATTCATAAACATTTCTACAAGGAGAGTTTCGTTTGCCTGCTGTGCCCTTTAGTGATCTAGTATTGGCCACCAATCAAGACATAGTTTATATGAACATATGCTCATTATTATCACCATGGTGAAAATACGATCAGATCTTTTAACATTAAATTTTTTTTTTTTAAATTCATAACACATCCCTTGCATAAGTTGAACAAATCTTAAAGATATAAATGATCTTACCTGAAAGTCTTTGAGCTGGACTATATGAGGGTGGCGCACAGTCTTGAGGATTTCAATCTCTGTGAGCAGGTTTTCTGTAGATGCCTTGTTTAAAGTCTTCTTTGCAACCACCTTCACTGCCACCACCTCTCGACTGTCCCCCTGCAACATCACAGTCAGGAACTTACAAGTGCCTACAAGTGGTGACTGCAGATTTATTCAATGTGGACTGTCAGAGCCTCAGACAGAATTGGGGGTGTAGAAATCAGATTTAGTAATGGCAGATTCATTGAAATATCATAGTTATTGAAGTATGGTAAGTGCAGTCAAGAAAGTCACGCCTTTAACGTGAAACTTGAATGTCTGTATTTGGACTTATGTGATGTTTCTATGACTCCACAAACTCACCTTTCTGTAGGCTTTATAGACTGTAGCATAGGTACCGCTGCCCAGCCTCTCTGTGAGGATGAAGTCTGCCAATTTTGGAGGAGCAAAGCTTGAGGCTGAGGCCATGCTGACAACAGCAACATCAAATTTCCCAAGCAGGACTGGGCTGCAATGTAAGATGAATATGCTATTGATACCAAATAAATGATCTGACTTATTGTCTTTTTATAGGGAGGTCAGAGGTCAGTGTAACCTGCAGAATAGTGATGCTAACCTTGCACCTGATGGTGACACTATTTCCCAGTGTATTTACCAATCATCTGATAGTCACGTGCATTTAGACTTCACACCATTTAACAATGTACAGGACGTTGATCTGTGAATTACCAAGACTGCAGCGGTTCAAAGTACAGCCTCTAATACTGTAGAGAGAACCGCTTCACGCTGCTTAGAAACGCCCACTGCAAATTATTTTTGTCAGGAGGAAAACTTGTTCTGATGTTCGCGCGAATAAATTCAAAGTTTACTCAGTTAGTTCAGTGTTTACTTGGTGTTAACACTTGGTGTGACCCGAACACATACCACACTTCAGACATGCTCGTTAAATGTCTTAGGATTTTGCATTTTTCTTATCGATAGGTGTGTGAACTATAAACCGATCATTTTTTTAACTTTATTTGGTGTATCCGCCTTTAAGGGCTAGCTACCTAAGTTCTAGCTAGCGTAGCACTTGCTGTGCTAGGAATAGTAAGCTACTATGTAGGCCAACTACTGCAGCGTTAAATATAGGCTCGTCAACCGTTGGTCAAAAATGAAAGTAATTAGACCTTCCGCTTCCTTTCAAAGTTTTTCTTTAAATATATATGCTACTAGTTGACGCTTACCTGTAAGCTAACAACTCCACAGTACATGAATGAAAAGTGAATGTTTACATGGCAGACAGGGCAGGCTGCATGCTGTACTGCAGTGATCAGCTGACGTCAAAATGTATTAGAAAATGCATTACTGCCCCCTAGCGTTGGTACTCCGTTACTGCAGATTATGGGAGGAATTGTACTCTAATCATATCAATCAATACGACCTCTGCCAAACGTTAAACACTATTCTGTAGAATATATGATAATATACATGATAATAACGAACAAATGAATAAATCATAAATACCGCAAACTGACACATTTATGACTTCACAGTTAAGGTATATAACAGGGCAATCAATTATAATTTTGAGTTATTTTTGAGTAAGTAATATTTACCATAAATAGGCTATTATTCCACCTCTCCAGATAAATTTGATTTGTCATTTGCGTTGGTTTGATTTTGGCAATTATGAAATAAGAATTATATAAATATATCGTGTTTTATAGTCATCCACAATATTAGAAATAAGTATATTATTCTGACGACTCATTAATATTAAATTAAGCAATTTTTGTTAAATTTTCATGTATTTATTGATTGAAATTCTGGGTAACTGAGGCTTTTATTTTCAACAAACCCTCACCGGAAATTAGCTGTCACTGTGGAAATGATGGTCATTTAAAGATGGCGGAGTGCCTGGCTGCACGTTTGGCCGCCCAGGAGGAGCAAATTCTGGTCCTCACCCGCGAAATCTCCACTCTTCGGGATGGACTAAGCCGGGGTCTGGACACCACCGGTGTTACGGTCGTGTCCCCGGAACTGGAGAGTCTGCGGACTGAGAACGACAAGCTTAGGTACCGGCTTCTCCACCTCCGGCGGGGTCTGCAGGCGGAGCTGGAGCTGGAGGGGGCGCAGGGCAAGAAACAGCAAGGAGCGAAGTGTGGCAAAGCTACGGAGAAAAACACCAGCAAGGAGAAGCAGACGAACAACCGAGCTGATAATAAGGTAGTAATAAAGACTCAGGAAGGACATGTTATCCAATTTAAATGGCCTCAGTTTGTGATATGATGTAGTAATAGTAGTGCTGCACCATTTTGAGTAGCGGGCCTCTGTCCAGTGAAGCCAAATGACAAACTATACTACCACATTTCCAGAAATAGCTGTCCAACTCAGTTTCACTGTGTGTGCACACTTTGAATACTGAGCATGTCCAGTGACATTAATAACAGGCTCATAGTGTGACTCAGAAGGCAATGGTGATAAGAGCTTATTGTATGCCTAAAGACTCTGTTTGTTGACAGGTGGCAACTCCGGATACCAAACCAGGTGACAGGAACAAGAAGGAGAAGAAGCAGGATAAGGGACATGGAGATGGAGGCGGGAAAGAGGTGATTGTTACAGGAGCTTGAAGTTATCCTGATACCCTTCTCACCCATTCAACCAACAGGGACATAACTCACATTTCAGTTCCTCACAAAAAACAAAAAAAAATATTTTGCCTATTTTTCCCTGTAGCAGAAGGCCTGGCCTGGATACATTGCTCAGCGCCTCAGCCTCTATGAGGAGCTGAAGAAGGAGAGCGATGCCCTGCTGGCAAAGAAAGCTGCGCACAGCAAGCCCATTACTGTGGAGCTGCCAGATGGACAAAAGGTGGCGGGCAAGGCTTGGGTCACCACACCATACCAGCTTGCTTCTGATATCAGGTCGGTGCTTAAACAGCTGGCCGTGATCTTCTAATGTTCAGTCTACAGTTGCATCCTCAACTAATGGCTGCCAATATGATTAATATAATTCATTATTTGCCTATAAAACTTTTAATTATATGACACAAAATACACACTTCAGAGGGAGACTTGACTCTTATGTTTCCCAGATGTCAACCCCAACCCCCTCCCACCAAATGTTATGTTGTTTTCACTCTTCCTTTTCATTATGATTTAAATCACTTTGTTCAATTTGGACACAGAATTACTGAGACAACTATCTTGCACTTGATCTTTCAGCCAAGGCCTGGCTGACAATGCTGTGATTTCTCGGGTGAATGGAGAGCTCTGGGACCTGGACAGACCTCTTGAGCAGGACTGCTCTCTTGAGATCCTGCGCTTTGACAATGAGGATGCTCAGGCTGTGAGTACATAGAACATCCTCAATGACATCAGAGATGTATTCTGTTGTACTGCATTATCTGTGATCTGTAAATCAGTTTTCACACTCTCAGTCTAAGCCACAGCGTCCACAGCAACAAACTTGCTTTAACTTGACTAAACTTCATCTCATGTTCTAGGTTTATTGGCACTCCAGTGCTCACATCCTGGGGGAGGCAATGGAGCATTTTTATGGAGGTTGTTTATGTTATGGCCCCCCGATAGAGAATGGCTTCTACTATGACATGTTCCTGGATGGACAAAAGTGAGTAAAAGTATCTCCACTCTCAATGTCTTGCTAGATTTCTTTATCTATGTCAATCTTTCCAGAATAGCTTATAATTATCAGACATGAATTCTAGTCTAAAAAAAAAAATCATCAACAAGTTTATAGATTCTAGTCTTAGTTATGTATTTCACTGCTTTTTGAATCAGTTATTGATGGGTCTGCTTTGTCGGGAGAAAAGAAGAGACCTTTTAATCTTTCTAACCCAGGATCATCACGTCAAACGTAATTACAGAAACGTCATGATACTTGTCAGAGTTGCACCGACCATGAGAGCTTGTAATGAGTGGAACATGTTTGCTGTTTCCAGGGGTGTGTCCAGTACTGAGTTCGGGGACCTGGAGACTTTGTGTAAGGCTGTGGTGAAGGAAAAACAGCCCTTTGAGAGGCTTGAGATCAGCAAGGAGACACTGCTAAAGATGTTTAAGGTGAGAAAGAGAGCACTCAAATCTGCTCACAGCTCTTAGGATCCTCCACTTGTCTGGAAGAATTAAGAGTGGCATATCAGTTGTCCAGTTTAGAGAATATTAAACTGGAAATCTGTATGGATATATATTACTTTCCTGCTACTGTTTCTTCAACTGTTTTCAGTGATTTGAAAATAACACTCTACAGCCATACACTGTCAATGCATGTACAGACTGATCGATTCTTATTACCTCTCATTACCGCTGTTTGCATGCATGGGATTTGGCAAAAAGCACAATGAAATCTTTAAATCAAGACAAAAAACGTTGTGTTTGTGGTGAATATTCCTTCTACCCAGGATAACTTATAACTTACCCAAGGTCTCTTTCAGTACAACAAATTCAAGTGCCGCATTCTGAATGAGAAAGTCACCACCCCCACTACTACAGTCTACAGGTTAGTTAGTTATAAGTAAAAAAAACAGATTATGTTGTTTTTTGTTTTGGATTTTTTTGGTACTTTCTAAAGCTAACTGTGGTGTAACTTATGAATCCTGGGTAGATGTGGGCCCTTGATTGACCTGTGCAGAGGTCCCCATGTCAGACATACAGGCAAGATCAAGGCCATGAAGATCTACAAGGTATGTGGAGTAATACACACAGTGTATCATTTAATTTTTCAAATTTCTAGAAAAGTCACTTTGTGCTAACGGGTGTATAAGTTCATTTTCATCTCTTTTCTACCTCTGTCATCAGAACTCCTCCACTTACTGGGAGGGTCGCTCCGACATGGAAACACTACAGAGGATCTATGGGATTTCCTTCCCGGATTCAAAGATGCTGAAGGAGTGGGAACGTTTTCAGGAGGAGGCCAAGAATAGAGACCATCGCAAGATTGGCAAAGTGAGTCACTATAGGCAGTCATGTTCTAGCCCACCCAGCTGGCTCAGGCCTAAAAGACTGAGACTGAAACCCAGTAAGAAGCAAATTTCGACTTGTAATTGTATAATATAATGACACATCTCTTTGAGGTTTTAGCAGGAGTTTTTCCTCATGAGAGTCTACGTTTGTGGTTTTATAGATGTGGTGAAACCATGAAATGAACCTGGACCAAGAATACAGTCTCTAGACATGAACTGTAAATATACATGCAACAACACAGAAACATTTTTTTTTTCCCAAGAGGGCTGAGTAAAGTAAAACAGTCTCCCGAGTGTATTCCACTAGACAGAATCAGTCAGGGCCAAAAACTCAGATGGACCATCAGCTTCAGCTATTCACCTATTTGTCGCACATTTGAACATGAAAAACATGTTGTTTTGCACTAAATTGTCTGTTGCTACTTTGCACCAGCTGAGGGCACTGTGTTTCTTTGTATTTGCACTTTCAAGACAACTGTGAGTCATCTGAGGGCCCCAGCTGGTTTCCCAGCTTGGGAGGCACAGGCGGCAGCACCTCAATCAGCACTGATTACAACACAGTTCCATATTAAATGCGAGAGTCAAGACATTGCTGCCGAAGCAGCATGGGAGGGGACAAAAGTGGCATGTGGTTGTAAAGATGTTGTTCTGTGGTATGATCCCAATCTGACCATTTTCATTTTGTGCATCGTGGAAGCAAAACATTTTGAAAACCTCCTAGATTCAGTGCAATCTTATTACCCAGTAGCGATGAAGTGAAAAAAAGAACCAATCAGATACACGAGCAGAGAACATGCTGTGTCAATTTTATAAAATTGACACAGCATGTTATACCTCACTACTTTTGACATGTGTGTCGAGGAAATAAAATATAGAAATGACCTCCAGACAGGTGTTCTCATAAAGCAAGATTACCAGTGAAATCAGGCTTATTGCAGTAATTCAGGCTAATTTTCAGTAAATTCTGTTTCATAAAAGAGGTTTAAGTAAGTCGGACCTAAGTTACCATGGAAACCTGTTTGCTCATGGTCTGGTTTGACCAGGACCGAGACCAGTAAGTAAGACATGGCTTCATCTCAGGCTTAATCGTTGTTTTCAGACAGAAACGCTTGGTTCCTCCCTGAAGGTTCCTCTTTTGTTCCTGCCTGCTGCACTGTGAGTCAGTCTCTTTCTCGTTTATGTCCAATCCAAGGTTGTCACTGAAATCATAGATCGCTGGACCTGCTGAACCCATGAAATATTGTATTTTAGTTTCTTTTAGGGGGGAAATGAATAAAATTTGTCTCCAGAGTCTGGAAGGAAAGGAAACAATTGATCCTACTCTCCAGCCACC